TTATCTTGTTAGAAGAAGTGAGCTAGGACTCACAACTATCATTACAGAATATAGAAATTTCTCCTTTGTTTGTTATAATTAAAAATAATCTGTAACAGAGGCTTGGTTTATGCAATGTTTTTACAATGCCTTTCTAGCAAAAATGCAAAGAATGTTATAATCATTTAATCCATTCATAATGTAAACTAAATGTGAAGTGGGCAAATGAAGAAAGAAATCCTTCACATAAAAGACCTGGAATAAATCTGAAGTTATCTATGAATTTATATATACAAACAGAAAAACCAGTATACAGAAATGATTACTTGAGCCTCAAAGAAGGGCTGCAGCTCAAATTCATTACAATCTGTCTAGGATGTTTACTATGCCATTCTAAGTCCTTTAAAACTTGGTTTAAGATTTAAAAACCCCCTTAGAATTCTTCCCCCAATTTATTTGAAAAAGCTCATATACACACACATTAAATTTTTTTGGCTAGGCGAGATGGCTCACGCCTGTAATCCCAACACTTTGGAAGGCTGAGGTGGGCAGATTGCTTGAGCTCATTAGTTTGAATTCTTGTTGCTTGGGCAACATGGTGAAACCCCATCTCTAATAAAAATACAAAAATTGGCTGGGCGTGGTGGCACATGCCATGCTGGGACTCACTGCAGTGTCTGCCTCCTGGGCCTAGGAGTGATCTTCCCACTACAGCCTCCTGAATAGGTGGGATGACGTGTTGGGGTTACAGCCGTGAGCCATCAAGCCCAGCTGATTAAATTCTTTTTTCCTCCCATATGAAGTCTCACTGTGGCCCAGGCTCCAGTGCAGTGGCTCAATCTGGGCTCACTGTAATCTCCGCCTCCTCAGGTTCAAGCAATTCTTCTGCCTCAGTCTTCAGAGTAGCTGGGACTACAGGCACCCACCACCACACCCAGGTAATTTTTTTATTTTTAGTAGAGATGGGGTTTTGCCTTGTTACCCAGGCTGGTCTGGAACTCCTGACATCAAGTAATCCACCACCTTGGCCTCCCTAAGTGCTGAGATTACAGGCATAAGTAAATTATTAACAGGAATTTTCACTACATTCTATTAAACAACAAATTAACCTAAGTCTTAAGTCATGCCTTTATCAGTAGCTAACATATTTCATTATCTCCCCTAACAATTTCAATGTCAAGGAATATATTACTGTCCTGTTCACTGTGAGCATTAAGTGTCCTTAACTAGAAAATGCACCCACCCATAAAATTTGAGGGAAGTGAGAAAGGTCAAGTATCTTTAGAAGCTCATAACATAGGTTCTAAATTAAGAGTCCCTGCTCTAAAGAAAAGGGATATCACTCTTGTAACCAACACTATTGTGAACAATAGTAACAAAATATTCCCTATACATATTGGCAGAGAAACATGGTACCAAGTGGGTTCTTGCCTTAAACCAAAAGAAACTCCAAGAAAAGAGCCAGGTGCGGTGGCTCACGCCTGTAATCCCAGCACTTTGGGAGGCCGAGGCAGGTGGATCACGAGGTCGATAGATCAAGACCATCCTGGTCAACATGGTGAAAACCCGTCTCTACTAAAAATATAAAAAATTAGTTGGGCATGGTGGAGCGTGCCTGTAATCCCAGCTACTCGGGAGGCTGAGGCAGAATTGCCTGAACCCAGGAGGCGGAGATAGCGGTGAGCCAAGATCGTGCCATTGCACTCCAGCCTGGGTAACAAGAGCGAAACTCCGTCTCAAAAAAAAAAAAAAAAAAAAAATTAGCTGGGTATTGTGGCCTGCGCCTGTAGTCCCAGCTACTCAGGAGGCTGAGGTAGGAGAATCACTTGAACCTCGGAGGCAGAGGTTGCAAGGAGCTGAAATCACACCACTGCACTCCAGCCTGGCAACAGAGCAAGACTCTATTAAAAACCTCCAAGAAAAATAAAAATAGTCTAAATAAAAACAAATCAGAAGATGTGATTGCTGCACAACACTGTCAATGTACTAAATGTCACTGAACTGTTTGTTCACCTTAATGTGGTTAATTTTATGGTATGTGAATTTCACCTCAAAAAAAATCACATATACGTTCATCTCATTAAATATATATAATGAGATACACTTAATCACATGCTAGATATGAACATAGCCAGAGTTTCCAAAATACAGGATAGCAAAAACTGATGTCTGCATTAGAAGTTACAGAAAAAGTATACAAAATAGAGCTCAAGAAAAAAAAAGGCAAGTATTTGCTGAAGTGCCTCAAAAATCAAATTGCTTGCGGGGGTGGGGGGAAAGTTCCTCCAGGAGAGCCAGAGAAATAAGCAAAGCCATGATGGAATTTGAACTCACACCACCTTTCTACCAGATCGAACCAGACAAGTCCCTGGCTGCTCTGAGGATTTATTGTATGGCCTAAGGACATTGTTAAACAACAAAGCTGTGAGAGTCAAAGCACATAATCACTCTTACTTGCCCTGACCAGAGTGTGATGTCACTGCATTTCGGAAAAGGCTTCCCCGCGCAGGATTACATATCCAGATTTAACATAACCTAGTTTCTACCAAATATAGATTGTGAAAGTCCCTCCTCTCCTGTACCTACCTCCAGTTTCCCAAAAGAGAGCTGCAAAATTAGATTAATATCTTGGGTAGAATAAGGTCAGAAAAAAATTAATATGGTCTTAATTCAAATGGCTCTTTGGGAAGCTAAATTAGTTTGTAAAGTCACTAAACCCTTCTATTCACAAAGTTGGGCTTTACACAGTTCAGTGCTCATAGTGAAAAACTAGCCAAAGTTAACCAAACTGTAAAGCGGAAATGTCATTCCGGTAATCTTTTATTATGAGAGGTATCAAATTCATTTTGAATCAAATATTCAATAATAATGCAGACAACAGCACCATCATATATGATTTTGCTCATAAGAAATTATGAGACACAAAAGTTAAAATCACCTGTTATTTCTATTTAAACAGACTACAAAGTAGCTTCTTAATATTATACAGAAGGAAAGAAGTTCAAAAGTTTTACACCTAATTCTTTTTTTTTTTTTTTTTTTTTTTTGAGACGGAGTTTCGCTCGTTACCCAGGCTGGAGTGCAATGGCGCGATCTCGGCTCACCGCAACCTCCACCTCCTGGGTTCAGGCAATTCTCCTGCCTCAGCCTCCTGAGTAGCTGGGATTACAGGCACGCGCCACCATGCCCAGCTAATTTTTTGTACTTTTAGTAGAGACGGGGTTTCACCATGTTGACCAGGATGGTCTCGATCTCTCGACCTCGTGATCCACCCGCCTCGGCCTCCCAAAGTGCTGGGATTACAGGCTTGAGCCACCGCACCCGGCCTACACCTAATTCTTAACCGAAATAACGTCAAACTCTGGAAAACTAAAGCCTGCAAGGAAATAAAGAAGGACAAGAGAAAGGAGAACGTGTCCTATTTAATATATTCCTTGCTCAGCTTGGTTCAAACCTGTGCCTAAAAAGCTAGTATTTCTTTTCTTTTTTTTTTTTTGAGACGGAGTTTCGCTCTTGTTACCCAGGCTGGAGTGCAATGGCGCGATCTCGGCTCACCGCAACCTCTGCCTCCTGGGTTCAGGCAATTCTCCTGCCTCAGCCTCCTGAGTAGCTGGGATTACAGGCACGTGCCACCATGCCCAGCTAATTTTTTGTATTTTTAGTAGAGACGGGGTTTCACCATGTTGAGCAGGATGGTCTCGATCTCTTGACCTCGTGATCCACCTGCCTCGGCCTCCCAAAGTGCTGGGATTACAGGCCAGAGCCACCGCGCCCGGCCGCTAATATTTCGAAATATGGATCTTTTAAGGAAAGAAAGAATGAAAGAACTGGACTTCCTTGAGTCTCTTAATCCACAGTCACAATATTAGATTTATATTGATTTTACCACCCAGCGTTTAGTGAGGCTGTTTGCCTTACACATCATCCTTTCTGCTTCCTTCAGAGTTTCAGCGGCTAAGATACTTGCAAACAGTTCTCACCTTACCCAGGCGCTTAGTCATCTCTGGAATGTGTTACACGTTTTCTTACAGAGCTGCACCGCCTTCATCTAAGGGTTTCTATTACTTTGTAAGCTTATCCTGAGGCTAAGCAATTAAAGTATACCAGGACGGTAATTAATAATTTAAATTGATTCTCATTGAGACCGCCTTTCTTAGTCATTGTGCCTTTATCAGCTTAATGTTCCTTCTCTTAAACCACAACGGTTATGATAAGTTTTCAAACACTTTTCTTTTCAAAAGTGAAGTTTGGCTCGGTGAGCTGGCTCACGCCTGTAATCACAGTACTTTGGGAGGCCGAGGCAGAAGGATCGGGAGGATCGCTTGAGCCCAGGAATTCGAGACCAGGCTGGGCAACACAGTAAGACCCTGTCTCTAAAAATACAAAAAAAAAAAAAAAAAAAAAAAAGTTAAAAGTTTAATGAAGCATCTGCGTAAATTCAATAAAAGCCTGTCCTCCCATCCAACCCCTCCAATAGAAGACTACTCTGAAAACAAGCAGCATGAACACATTATTTGGATTCAAACGATAAGGAAATAACAGAAAGTTCCAGTTTCTTTGCTTCCAGCTTAACCTACAGCCTTTCCCGAACCAGACCATTCCTGCAGAGCCCCCACAAAAAAATTCTGGGTTAAGACGGGTTAAGATTGACCCCCATTTGCTTCCCCTTCTCTTCCATCGAGTCAATTCTGGCCAGAGGTTACTCTTTCCTTCCCCAGGCGGTGAAGGTTCTAGTGATCTGCGCCTCCATTACGGAGCGGGGAAGAGACGACGTTCGCCCATCACAGAGCAGCCCCTTCGAGGGAATCCCTTTTCCTTCGCCTGCTGGACAAGTTCCAGCCTCCCGGTGAACGACGCCGGGCGGGGAGGAAGGAAAGTTCCCCCCGCGGCCTCCGGGCTCCATCGGCCACACCCCTGGCCTCCGGCCCTCCCGAACCCCGAATTCCTGAACACATCTTCCCCTCCTGCCCCCGACTACCTGCTGCCACGCCCGCAGATCCCCTCACCGCACCGCAGCCACCATGGCGGAGACCCTTTCTCCAGCCCTTTTCCTGGCAACGGTCACACCCGACGGTTCCCCGCATCCTCAACGGTCACGCTCTCAGGATTTCCTCGCCTCCGCCGGCCTCGGAGCCCAGCCTGGGGTTCCCCTTCTCTCCGTCCCCGACCCCGTCAATTAGGGACACACCCCAAAAGCAGCCGCCCTGAACTCACCGGAGGCGGAGGCGAAGGCGAGGGCGGGGGTGGCGGCGGCAGCCGGAGAGCACAGCCCGAGCGGTGGTGTAATGGTTTCCTGCCCGTCACGATTCTTTTCTAGGTCTAAGTCACTGCGCAAAACCCGCTTTGCCAGGGACAAAGATGGTGGGCAGGAAACTCTGACGTCAGATAACCTCGCCGCGCCACGTCATCGGGGTGCGCGGGAGGCCCGGAAAGGCTGGCGTCTCTGCCGCCTTCCAGACCCGAAGGTTTCCCTTGGTCCCTCCCGGGCCTCGGCGGGTAAGCTGCTACTCCAGAGGGATTTATCTACAAAGCTGACGGTGGATTCGTTTCCTCGCACGGAAATTCTCTGAAAAACGTAAACAGAGACGATGAAATACCGGCCCGGCGCGGTGGCTCACGCCTGTAATCCCAGCACTTTGGGAGGCCGAGGAGGGCGGATCACCTGAGGTCAGGAGTTCGAGACCAGCCTGGCAAACGTGGTGAAACCCCGTCTCTACTAAAAATAAAAAATTAGCCGGGTGTGGTAGCGCATGCCTCTCATCTCAGCTACTCGGGAGGCTGAGGCAGGAGAATTGCTAGAATCCGGCTGAGGCCGAGGTTGCAGTGAGCCGATTGCGCCATTGCACTCCAGTCTGGGCAACAGAGCGAGACTTTGTCTCAAAAAAAAAAAAAAAAAGAAAGAGAGAGAGAGAGAGAGAGAGAGAGAGATGATGATGAACTATCTCATTCCTTTCTGAAAAAACAAAAACAAAACCCCTCAGCTCATTTTCCTGTCCGGCTCAAGAGTGGACAGTGGTGATACAGCCTAGGCCCATATATGGGCAGTGGAGCTACGGGATAGCGTGCACTGAAAAGAGGTTGAGGAGGTACTGGATGTGAGTTTGAATCCCTACCCTGAATGTGACTGGGAAACTTAATGTCTCCTCAACTCTCTTATCTGTGAAATGAAGACAATGATACTCTCTCGGGCATGTGAAGCTTAAAGCAGATAAAATAGGTAAAGTGCCTACCATATAACAGGTGTGCTTACACTAAAGTAAGTTTCTTTTGGAAACTAAGACCTAGACCTAGATTCCGGGACCTGGAACTGGAGAACAAGACTGATGAGGTTAAATGAAACTAGCTGTCCCTAAAGTTAATTTCAGGATGTGAAGAAGGATGGAGAGCAAAGTGATGACTTATTTTTCTCACATTTTGCCCATTAACTCTGTGAGTCAAAAAGTGTCTAAGTATTTTAAAACTTCATTCTTAAAAAAGTGATCAGAAGTACATTAAAATTTTGTATAACATATTCATGTATTATTTCCTGTTATTAAAATAGGGGAAATTAAGTTGGAAAGCCAGGTATAAAGTGAGAGAATGTGAACATTTATGGTAAATCTAATAGCTGCAAAATGTTAAAGTAAGAGACAGAAAATTCATAAAATGTTAAGTAAAAAACTGATGCAAAACAATATATTACATAGTATGACTATACATGTATAGAAAAGAAAGGCTAGGATAGGTCAGGTGTGGTGTCTCACACCTGTAATCCTGGCACTTTGGGAGGCCAAGGGGGGGCAGATCACCTGAGCTTGGGAATTTGAGAGCAGCCTGGCCAATATGGTGAAACCCTGTCTCTACTTAAAAAACAAGCCGGGCGTGGTGGCTCAAGCCTGTCATCCCAGCACTTTGGGAGGCCGAGGTGGGTGGATCACGAGGTTGAGAGATCGAGACCATCCTGGTCAACATGGTGAAACCCCGTCTCTACTAAAAATACAAAAAATTAGCTGGGCATGGTGGCGCATGCCTGTAATCCCAGCTACTCAGGAGGCTGAGGCAGGAGAATTGCCTGAACCCAGGAGGCGGAGGTTGCGGTGAGCCGAGATCGCGCCATTGCACTCCAGCCTGGGTAACAAGAGCGAAACTCCGTCTCAAAAAAAAAAAAAAAAAAAAAAAAAAATTTAGCCAGTGGTGGCACATGCCTATAATCCCAGCTACTTGGGAGGCTGAGGCAGGAGAGTATCTTGAACCTGGTAGGCAAAGATTGCAGTGAGCTGAGATTGCGCCACTGCACTCCAACGTGGGTGACAGGCCAAGACGCCGTCTCAGGTTCAAGCAGTTTTCCTGCCTCAGCCTCCTAATTAGCTGGACTACTGGCACGCAGTACCATGCTGGACTAATGTGTTTTATTTTAGTAGAGACAGGGCTTCACCATGTTGGCCAGGATAGTTTCGATCTCCTGACCTTGTGATCCGCTCCGCCCGCCTTGGCCTCTCAAAGTGCTGGGATTACGGGCGTGAGCCACTGTGCCCAGCTGGCAATTTTTTTTTAAGTTTAGTTCTATACTTGGACATTTTCTCTACAATAACCCTTTAGCAATACCATGGGTTTAATTATCTTTCTTAAATACATGGCTCCAAAATCTCCAACTCTAGCTTAGACCTGGCTCTCCAAATTTCATCACCAAATCAGTAACCATACTGCTGGGTAATTCTGTATTTATGGCCCACCAAGCTTAAATCATAAGGAAGATGGAGGAGGTTAGAAAAACCTGGTTCCAGAGTTGGGCACAGCAGTTTATGCCTGTGATCCCAGCACTTTGGGAGGTTGAGGTAGGAGGATTACTTCAGCCTAAGAGTTCGAGGTTGTAGTGAGCCATGATCATGCCACTGCATTCCAGCCTGGGTGACAGAGTGAGACCGTCTCTACAAAGAGAGAGAGAGAAACCTGATTCTAGGTACAACTCCTAGTAGACAGAGGTAGGTTTCATAAAGATGTCATTAGAAAAATCTTTAAGAGGCTGGGCACAGTGGCTCATGCCTGTTACCACAGCACTTTGGGAGGCCGAGATGGGTGGGTCACCTAAGGTCAGGACTTTGAGACCAGCTTGGCTAACGTGGTAAAAACCCAACTCTACTAAAAATACAAAAATTAGCCAGGCCTGGTGGCACACGCCTGTAGTCCCAGCTACTTGGGAGGCTGAGGCAGGAGAATCGCTTGAACCTGAGAGGAAGTAGGTGCGGTGAGCCGAGATGGTACCACTGCACTCCAGCCTGGGCAATAAAGCTAGACTCCATCTCAAAAAAATAAAATAAAGTAAAGTAAAATAAAATAAAGAAAGAAGGAAAGAAAAAGAAAACTTGCTAAGAGATTTGATTCATACTGCTCTGTTCAAAAACTTTCATCAACTTCTCATTGCCTAACATGTTTGAAAGCCATTCTTCCGCCGGGCGTGGTGGCTCAAGCCTGTAATCCCAGCACTTTGGGAGGCCGAGGCGGGTGGATCACGAGGTCGAGAGATCGAGACCATCCTGGTCAACATGGTGAAACCCCGTCTCTACTAAAAGTGCAAAAAATTAGCTGGGCATGGTGGCACGTGCCTGTAATCCCAGCTACTCAGGAGGCTGAGGCAGGAGAATTGCCTGAACCCAGGAGGCGGAGGTTGCGGTGAGCCGAGATCGCGCCATTGCACTCCAGCCTGGGTAACAAGGGCGAAACTCCGTCTCAAAAAAAAAAAAAAAAAAAAAAAAAAAAAAGAAAGCCATTCTTCCCCTAGTTTCCTCTGTCTGTGTTCCTTTCTTTGGTTTTCTCTTCTATAAAATGGGGAAAGATAATAATCTAATCATAATATTGTTATTAATATTGAACAATGAAATAGATTACATGTAAAGCACTTAGAACCATGGGTGGCACATAGTGTGGACCATGGAACTATTTCCTATAATTGTGATAATGTTAATAAATTGCACTGAGCTGCTCAAGCCAGAAATCTCTAGGGGTCATTCCTGATTTCCCTTTCCTTCAACTGCCATATCCAATCCATCTCCAATTGTCAATTCTACATTTAAAATCTTAAAGCCATCCAAGTCCTTCTATTCAATCTCATGAACGCAAGCCACCATCACCTCTTTCCTGGACTACTAGAAGCCTCTAAGTCTTCTACCATTCTCCACACAGCGGCCAGGTTAACTTTTCTGGATGTATAGTATATATTAAAAAAACGTAATAAAAAAACAAAACAAAACACGTGTATATCTGGCCAGATGCAGTGGCTCATGCCTGGAATCCCAGCACTTTAGAAGGCCAAGGCAGAGGGGTCACTTGAGGCCAGGAGTTCAAGACCAGCCTGGCCAACATGGCAAAACACCGTCTACTAAAAATATAAAAATTAGCTGGGCATGGTGGCACATGTATGTAGTACCAGCTACTCTGGGGGTCTGAGGTGGGAGAATCGCTTGAACCCGGAAGGCAGAGGTTGCAGTGAGCTGAGATAGCACCCCTGCACTCCAGCCTGAGCTACAGAGTGAGACTGTCTCAAGAAAACAAAACAAAAACAAAGTGCATATGTCATAAATGTAAAGCTTGATATCAATACAGCATACCCATAAAACCATCAGAGTCATCTTTAAAAAATATAAACTTGATCATATCTGTGGTGTATGAATCCTTCATTGGTTTCCCATTGCACTTGGACTAAAATTTAGGCTCATTCCCACGGCCTGTGAGTCCTTGCATGGTTTGGCCTGTCTACCTCTCTAACTTCATTTTATGCCTTTCAGTCACTGCTCATATCCTCATATTTTCACCTTTTGCTAGCTATAATAGCCCTCAAACACACCAAGCTCATTCCCACCTTAGGGTCTTCACAATACTGTTCCTTCTGCCTATTCTTTCCCTCAACTCCTTAATATGGCTGGCTCCTCATAATTTGGGTCTTTGTTATGTCCTCAGAAGGGCATTCCGATTATTTAGTCTAAAATATTTGGGCCTCCCAGATCTCTTATTTAACTCGTAAAAAAATTTTTTTGAGACACTGTCTGGTTCTGTCACCCAGGCTGGAATGCAGTGGTGCAATCTCGGCTCACTGCAACCTCCGCCTCCCAGGTTCAAGCGAGTCTCCTCCTAAGCCTCCCGAGTAGCTGAGATTACAGGCATGTGCCACCACACCTGGCTAATTTTTTTGTATTTTTAGTAGAAGCCACGTTTTACCATGTTAGCCAGGATGGTCTTGATCTCCTGACCTCGTGATCCACCTGCCTCAGCCTCCCAATGTGCTGGGATTACAGGCATGAGCCACCGTGCCTGGCCAAACTTATAAATTTCTTATTTATATTTCCTATCTCCTCAACTGGACTATACATTCCATGAGGGCAGGTACCATGTCTGTTTTTACTATTACTTTATAGCATGATGCCTGGCACAAAGAAGGTACTCAAGGTACTCAATATTTATTTAATAAAATAATGAATATCCACAGGCAAGTTCTAAAATCAGCATTTAAGACCCTCGGCAATCCATCCAAGTCTGCTTTCAACATACTCTCCACTATTCCTTTTTGTAGCTCTATAGTCAAAGCAAACTAAACAATTTCCTTCTCTTATTTTAGGCAGCTCCTCTAGGCTGGAAAGCCCTTCACCACAACTGTGACCTTGTCTCAAATGTATGCATCTTTTGAGGTCCACCTATTATTTGGTTAGATAGGACCAATATACTTGCCTTCTATTTTAGCTAGTTTGAACTACCTTATTTCTACCCGCTCAAAATTTCTTCCTCTAAATTCATACCATATTAACCTGATGGCTCTTAATACCTTTTAACATAATGTATCTTATCTCCTCTATTACACTACAAACTTAAGGGTGAGATTTGTGATGAGTTATTATTTGTTGACTGTAATAATTGACATTTGCTGTTTTTAACTACCTTTCCTTTTTCTTCTTCTTCTTTTTTTTTTTCTTGAGACGGAGTTTCGCTCTTGTTACCCAGGTTGGAGTGCAATGGCGCGATCTCGGCTCACCGCAACCTATGCCTCCTGGGTTCAGGCAATTCTCCTGCCTCAGCCTCCGGAGTAGCTGGGATTACAGGCATGTGCCACCATGCCCAGCTAATTTTTGTATTTTTAGTAGAGACGGGGTTTCACCATGTTGACCAGGATGGTCTCGATCTCTTGACCTCATGATCCACCCGCCTCGGCCTCCCAAAGTGCTGGGATTACAGGCGTGAGCCACCGCGCCCGGCCCTTTTTCTTCTTTTGAGAGGGAGTCTTGCTCTGTTGCTCAGGTGAATGCAGTGGTGCCATCTCAGCTCACTGCAACCTCTACCTCCCAGGCTCAAGTGATTCTTGTGCCTCAGCTTCCTGAGTAGCTGGGATTACAGGCACATGCCACCACTCCAAACTAATTTTTGTATTTTTAGTAGAGATGGGGTTTCACCATGTTGGCCAGGCTGGTCTCAAACTTCTGACCTCAAGTGATCCACCCACCTCAGCCTCCCAGTGTTGGCATTACAGGTGTAAGTCACTGTGCCTGGCTCTACCTTTTCTTTTTCTTATGCCATACATTCAGTTAACTTTCGGAGTATTTCCATGGGACTGTTAATCAAGATATCTTGTCTTTCCCTAGCTAAGACTGAAAGAGAGGGTGGAGAGGGAATTTGAACCAAGAGAGGTCAGTCGAATTCGTTAACATGAGCACAGTCACAAACAAGTTGGTGGAAGCTCATTCATTCCAACAATGTTGCCTGGGTAAAAACTTTTGCTAACACCTGATAGACAGTCCCAATAGGATTGTTAGGTTCCTATTCTTTCAGAGCTGGCTTTATTTATTTTGTGAGCTACTCCATACACCCTTTTTTTTTTTTTTTTTTTGAGATGGCGTTTTGCTCTTTTTGCCCAGGCTGGAGTGCAATGTCACAATCTCGGCTCACCGCAAACTCCGCCTCCCAGGTTCAAGCAATTCTCCTGCCTCAGCCTCCTGAGTAGCTGGGACTATAGGTGCGTGCCACCACGCCCAGCTAATTTTTTGTATTTTTTTTTTTTTTTTTTTTTTTTTTTTTTTGAGACGGAGTTTTGCTCTTGTTACCCAGGCTGGAGTGCAATGGCGCGATCTCGGCTCACCGCAACCTCCGCCTCCTGGGCTCAGGCAATTCTCCTGCCTCAGCCTCCTGAGTAGCTGGGATTACAGGCACGCGCCACCACGCCCAGCTAGTTTTTTTGTATTTTTAGTAGAGACGGGGTTTCACCATGTTGACCAGGATGGTCTCGATCTCTTGACCTCGTGATCCACCCGCCTCCGCCTCCCAAAGTGCTGGGATTACAGGCTTGAGCCACCGCGCCCGGCCTATTTTTTGTATTTTTAGTAGAGATGAGATTTTACCATGTTAGCCAGGACGGTCTTGATCTCCTGACCTCATGATCTGCCCACCTCGGCCTCCCAGAGTGCTGGGATTACAGGCATGAGCCACAACTCCTGGCCTACTCCATACACTTCTAATAAATTCCATTTTAGTTTAAATTAGCCTGTTTCTGTTGCTTGTAACCAAAGATCCCTAAGTGATAGCAATGTTTAATTTCCTGCTTGAGTTAGTTGACGCTACTTCTCAACTTTGTATTTTTGCTATTCACTTAAGAAAAGCTTGTACATGGCCGGGCGTGGTGGCTCAAGCCTGTAATCCCAGCACTTTGGGAGGCCGAGGCGGGTGGATCACGAGGTCGAGAGTTCGAGACCATCCTGGTCGACATGGTGAAACCCCGTCTCTACTCAAAATACAAAAAATTAGCTGGGCATGGTGGCACGTGCCTGTAATCCCAGCTACTCAGGAGGCTGAGGCAGGAGAATTGCCTGAACCCGGGAGGCGGAGGTTGCGGTGAGCCGAGATCGTGACATTGCACTCCAGCCTGGGTAACAAGGGCGAAACTCCGTCTCAAAAAAAGAAAAAAAAAAAAAAAAAGAAAGAAAAGCTTGTACATAATAGCTACCAATAAACCTAATATGTACCACGTGCTGTAAACTATGTCTAGTCTTAAAATTATGTAAGGTAAAAATCTTGTATCAATATGACATATTTTGGTAGAATAAAAACACTTTTTTTTTTTTTTTTTTTGAGACTGAGTTTTGCTCTTGTTACCCAGGCTGGAGTGCAATGGCGCGATCTCGGCTCACGACAACCTCCGCCTCCTGGGTTCAGGCAATTCTCCTGCCTCAGCCTCCTGAGTAGCTGGGATTACAGGCACGCGTCACCATGCCCAGCTAATTTTAGTATTTTTAGTAGAGACGGGGTTTCACCATGTTGACCAGGATGGTCTCGATCTCTTGACCTCGTGATTCACCTGCCTCGGCCGCCCAAAGTGCTGGGATTACAGGCTTGAGCCACTGCGCCCGGCCTAAAAACACTTATAACTATAAATAAGGACGATTTATAAGGTTTTGTTTCCTATTGGAATAACTAAATCCAAACCTTGTTTTTGAGGGTTCTCATTATGGAAACCAATTATTTTTATTACATAAGGGCCTCTTGGGCAGTAAACAATACCTTGTATTCCCAGCTATTTAGCCCAGAGGTGGTGCTTCCCAGAGGGAGGAGAGGTTGAATTCTCATCCAAATTCAATAAGCCTGTGTAAGCCAACTCTAGTGAGACAAAGCTGTATATAACATAAAAGCACTTTACAAACCTTAAGGTAAATTACATTCGCTTTTGCATAAAAACGGCATGAAAGGAACTCTTCTGCTAAGTGTCCCCAGTGCATGCTAGTTACAATTCACAAAGCTCCCCCTGCTTTGGTACTGTGTTCACTTCGCTGGTGTGACATATCGGACTGTGTTCAGGGACGGAGACATTTTTATCCAGTATAGCAAGTGCATGGCGTTATACCTGAATGCAGCCAGAACCTGGAAGACAGTGAAACTACCAGCTTGGATGAAAATTAACCGTCTCAACTACTGAGGAACAAACATGAGCCTTTCTCAATCCGATCATCTTTCCTTATAATTGGCAGCAATAAATCTAAGGCTTCTATCTCCTGGTATGTTGCTTTAAATCCTTTCTGGAAGGGGAAGACATAGCAATTAACCACCTTCCGTTCCGCGCGTGTGCAGAAAAGTCCTTTCCACCTCCGGATTCCCTTCCTCCCTCTGCCCCTAGCTCCGCCGCCTGCAGGAACACAGGGCTCGGCCCCGGGCCCAAGCTACGACTCCCGGAGCCAGACGTGTGCGCGGCGCCCCAGACAACTTGTCAAAAAGACGTCCGCAGAGAGACGTTCAGGGCTGCAGCCTTCCCGCGAGGCTCCCATGCAGAGCCAGCTACGAAAGGTAAAACCAAACCAGCGGAAAAGTCGCGGCCAAACCCGGCCCGCGGCGGCCTTCTTCCCTTCCAGCGGGCGGGCGCGGAAGTCCGGTCGGGTCATAGAGTTCTCTAGTTCCGGTTTCCGGGCCGCAGTCGGGACTAGAGCGCCTCTCTTCCGCCAGGCGTCCCCGGAGTCCCCGTGCTTTCTATTTCCGGGTGCGTCTTCCGTCATAAAGCGGAGACGTCGCTTCTAACGTGGCGTCGTGGGTTCTTAGCGCCTCGCCTGGAGTCGGCGAGCGAAGGCAGCGGCCGAAGCCAGTCCTCGTGTCCCGGCTCACACCGGCACGACCGCATCCTCAGAGTCGGCTGGCTTTTGAGCGCCCATGATTGAGGAGGAGGAGGGTTTCCCGTTCGCAGCTCCAGAGGATCGCGTTCCTTCCCCCATGCCTGTCCCCCAGTCACGCTCTGCCCTCGGGTGCAGCACCGGACAAGCTACCCGCTCGCCGCATACCGCTCCTACCCACGTCCGAGTTAACTTTGTTCTTAACCTTCTGGAGACTCCCCTCCGCCTCCAGAACAGGTCTTTTTTTCCCTAGTCCGTTTTTGCCCATAAAATTGAGTTTCGAGTTTTAGATATCGTACAGAAAGTCTACCTTTAAGATTCAGCACCCATCTGATACCCTTCCTCCCGAAAAAGTTCATGCTCACGAGAGAGTCCGTGGGAAAAGCGAAAGCCAGTCAACACGGGAAACTATGGCTGAGCACGGGGCTCACATCGCAACTGCTGCTGTGGCCGATGACCAGCCATCCATCTTCGAGGTGGTAGCACAGGACAGTTTAATGACAGCAGTGAGACCTGCTCTTCAGCATGTGGTCAAGGTAAGGTATTAATTCTTGTATTTTAGGCAAAAACCAAACCAATAATTTGTGCTTATTTGGTAGCCTACCGCTTGAAATAGCCAATTTGCAAATAACTCATATCCCATGACTTACAGGTTCTTGAGTCTGTATGACGTGTAGAGACCGGTACTGAATACCCAACGTTTCAGGGAGGTTAGGGTAGACTCCAAAGTAAGTGACTTATTTAAGACAGAATGTGTAGACTTTGGAGGAAAAGGGGGAATGCAAATAGAAGGTGTAGTACTTGTGTAATGGAATGAATTTCACTTATTTTTATTTTGCTCTAGGTTCTTGCAGAATCAAATCCCACTCACTATGGCTTCTTGTGGAGGTGGTTTGATGAAATCTTTACTCTGCTAGATCTTCTGCTCCAGCAGCATTACCTGTCTAGAACCAGTGCCTCATTTTCTGAAAACTTTTATGGCTTAAAGAGAATTGTAATGGGGGACACTCACAAGTCTCAGAGGTTGGCCACTGCTGGCCTCCCAAAGAAGCAGCTTTGGAAGTCAATTATGTTCCTGGTTCTTCTTCCCTATCTGAAAGTGAAGCTGGAGAAGTTGGTTGCTAGCCTGAGAGAAGAGGATGAATATTCTATTCATCCCCCTTCTTCCCGCTGGAAACGATTTTACAGAGCCTTTCTGGCAGCCTACCCATTTGTTAACATGGCCTGGGAAGGATGGTTTCTTGTACAACAACTTCGATATATCCTAGGAAAAGCTCAGCATCACTCACCACTGCTCAGGCTGGCTGGAGTTCGCCTAGGTCGACTGACAGTTCAGGATATACAAGCTCTGGAGCGCAAACCAGCTGAAGCCGGCGTGATGCAGCAACCAGACAGGAGGTAAGGCCTTAGCACTTCCAAAAGATATTTAGTTAATAAATTCTAAAATCTCATCCCAGTTTTGTGAAATTCACCTCCCTGTTAACTTTGTGGTATTTCATAAACTCATAGAAAAGCAATTCCTTGTGTCCATAAATCAAGGACTGTCATCTTGGTAACCTTCCTCATCATACTAGGTATACTTTTTGTGCACACTTGCTATGTCCTGTGCTAGGTGCTTGCTTTGTGAACATTATCTCAATCTTCAGCACAACCCAATGAAGTAAATGTATTAGCTCCATTTAACAGTTGGGGAAACTAAGCCCAAGCAGTTAAGTAGCTTGCCAAGGTCATGTGGCTAGCTAGCTACAAGGTGGCAGAGCTGGAATTCAAGCCAAGTCAATACAATTCTAAAGACTGCTCTGTGAGCCACTGCACTCAGCCTAAGACTGTGCTCTTAATCATGATGCTGTGTTCCTGCTAGTTCGTATTTGTGTTCTACAAGTTTAAATATATATATTCCTCAATACTGCTAAGTTTTTTGTTAATTGTTTTTTTTTTTTTTCCTGGATCACTATCTTCCACTAAAAAAAGGGAGAACATCTATATAATGAAATTCTCTACTGATTTCTTTCAAAACACAAAACCAAACCCTAATTATTTGTTACTAAAAACAAAGCTTAGCTCCTATGCTCCTAAAATACTGTAAGTTAGAGAGAATCATGTAGCATAGATCCTTAAGGAGGTAGTACCACCAGTCTACCAACTTTCCAGTCCTGCAGTGATTCTGATGAAAAAATGTAAGAACTGCATTTATGTTAGTCATTCTCTAATAATACCTAAAGTTTCTCTTTTTGCATCCTTGTTCTTTTCTCCCAACAGTGTTAGTGAGAAGATAAAGTCAGCTCTGAAGAAAGCTGTAGGGGGTGTTGCCTTATCCCTGTCTACTGGCCTTTCTGTGGGTGTATTCTTCTTGCAGTTCCTTGACTGGTGGTACTCATCTGAAAATCAAGAAACCATCAAGTCATTGACTGCCCTGCCTACTCCACCACCACCTGTACACCTAGACTATAACTCGGATTCTCCTCTCCTACCCAAAATGAAGACTGTGTGCCCACTGTGTCGTAAAACGCGGGTGAATGATACTGTTCTTGCCACCTCTGGCTATGTGTTTTGTTACCGCTGTGTGTTTCATTATGTGAGGAGTCACCAAGCTTGTCCCATCACAGGTTATCCAACAGAAGTACAACATCTGATTAAACTCTACTCCCCTGAGAACTGAAAGGGAATCGTGTCTTATCCTCACAACAAAAGTATTGCAGTGTAATGCCACAGGGCTGGTTTCAGCGTGGCATACAGCATTGATACTTCTCAGCCTCAATTCATAACTATATGAACTTTAAATGACTATATGGATTTCTTTAAAAGGATATGCCCATTTGATCCTAAACTTTTAGCCTGCTCTCTAGAACCCTACTTACAGTTGACCAAGCTGCTTAAGATAGAAGAATCAGTATTGGCAGGGGATATGACAGTCAGTCTAGAGATTCAACAGGATAATGACTACAGAATTTTTTGCTTATCCCTTTCCTTAAAATATAAGTACAGAAGGTCTTAGGAAAAATCCAAGTTAGACAGCATAAAAAATAAAGTGGACAGTGAAGTGGTAGCAAGCCTTCTTTTTAGAAAAGAAAGCATTTACCTGCCTGTCTGTAAGGTGGAAATTTCATCAGTTTACCAACGATAGGAAATGTGGACCTACTCTTGGTAGAAATGTTTAGAAACATTTTAGGGAAAAATTAAAGCCCCTTCCATATACTGTGACCCATTTGTTAAGTGACATCTAGAGTTACCAACTTTTAAGGATATCCTTAAAAGCTGGATATTTGGGATACTTAAGGATATTCCTCTATGAATCCTCCATAGCTTTCTTGAGAAACTGGTTAAAAAAGGAATAGGGGTTGAGTGTTACAGAGAGAGTAGTCTGAAGATTCCTTTGTAAAAGCAAAGCTAACAAGCAATGAAGAGATGAAGCAAAATACTACTCTAATTGTGTAAAGGAAGGATATTTTAATAAGTTCTTTCTGTTTGTTGCTAAGAGTTTGCTAAACTGTCATGAATTATTCTGGTTATTACTAAAGTTTCTATGAAACACTTAAGTAGATTTTAAGAATAAATGTTTCTGGAAAAATAACTTCCGTGTTGTTATGATTTTGTAGAAACGTAAAGATTACTTGAGGTGTTTAAAATAAATTTTTCATTCAGACTGCCGTTGGCTTTTTGAGGTATTTTTGTATTAAAATTTTGCCAATCCACTAGTTGGAACAAAAATCCTCTGCTCCAACAAGAATTCAGCCACATGCAAAATATCTCATGCATCAACTTAAACACTTAAGTTGCCTGTATAGGAGAATTTATGCCATTGGATTGGCAGGCTGGTGAAAACATGGGTTAAAAAAAAAATCATCGCTGGGTGCAGTGGCTCAAGCCTGTAATCCCAGCACTTTGGGAGGCCGAGGCGGGTGGATCACGAGGTCAAGAGATCGAGACCATCCTGGTCAACATAGTGAAACCCCGTCTCTACTAAAAATCCAAAAAATTAGCTGGGCATGGTGGCGTGTGCCTGTAGTCCCAGCTACTCAGGAGGCTGAGGCAGGAGAATTGCCTGAACCCAGGAGGCGGAGGTCGCGGTGAGCCGAGATTGTGCCATTGCACTCCAGCCTGGGTAACAGGAGCGAAAGTCTGTCTCAAAAAAAAAAAAAAAAAAAAAATCATCACTGCAAGAGGAAGGATGAAAATGATTTTTAAGAGTGCCTGCTGACATAAGTGTTTTCCAATACTTTAACTCATTTTACCAATTCAAAGCACATTCTCTGACAACACAAAGGTGCCAAAGCTAAAATTTTAAATAGGGTATTCTATGGATTTTAATATTAAGACATTTATGATGTTAATTGAGACAATAAAAAGAGATAAAATATTAAAACTTTTATATGCCATAAGAAAAGCGTAATGGATTTTAAAATTCTCATTAAACCTCAAAAGTTTTACCAAAGCAAATATCATAGTTGAACATTTTTTCTTTATTTTTTTTTATTTTTATTTTTTAGTTTTTTAGACAAGAGTTTCGCACTTGTTACCCAGGCTGGAGTGCAATGGCGCGATCTCGGCTCACCACAACCTCCACCTCCTGAGTTCAGGCAATTCTCCTGCCTCAGCCTCCTGAGTAGCTGGGATTACAGGCACGCGCCACCATGTCCAGCTAATTTTTTGTATTTTTAGTAGAGACGGGGTTTCACCATGTTGACCAGGATGGTCTCGATCTCTTGACCTCGTGATCCACCCACCTCGGCCTCCCAAAGTGCTGGGATTACAGGCGTGAGCCACCGCGCCCAGCCTTTATTTTTTTACTGAGTTGAAGTCTGGCTCTGTTGGCCAGGTTGGAGTGCAGTGGCACGATCTGGCTCACTGCAACCTCTGGCTCCTGGGTTCAAACAATTCTCCCAACTTAGCCTCCCATGTAGCTGTGATTACAAGTGCACACCACC